TCCTGGAACTAGCTCTTGTAGACCAGGCTGGCTCGAACTCACAGAGATCTGCCTGCCTCTGCCTCCCGAGTGCTGGGATTAAAGGCGTGCGCCACCACTGCCCAGCCGACTTCGAATTTTTTGAATGCTTATGACAGCTGTTGAGAGACATGAAATTGTAAAAGGGACTCCTGAATTAAACCAGCCTTGATACTTCAGAGATGTCTTAACTTTAAAATGAAAGTCAGAAAATGTATTGCATAGAGGGAGAGGTTGTGATTTTATTTCCACAGAAAATGAAAGGTTGTGGATTCCTTCAAGGTTAAAAGAGATCCTGTTTGATCAGAGGAGACATCCTGAAAATCTTGGCTACAGACTTAAAGAAATAAACCAAGTAAAACTATAAGACATGTGATATATATTCTGATCCCTCTGCATGGGAACAGTTCTGAGATTGGACAACAAATGTTACAACTAGTTTTCCCAGGACTTGACAATTATCTCAATTTTCTCAGGGTCACCTGGGGTGCTGTCACCCCCAGATAGCAGGAAGTACTCTATGGAACACAATGCCCACATTCCCAACTGAGGTCCAAAACTCTGCAATATGATTGATTTGTTTTGGTTTTCGGTAATGCTTCCTGTCTACTGCAAAGGGAAGTTTCCTTGAGGAAGAGTGAGGATAACACTTATTAGTGGTAATAAGGACAGAAGACATCCTTAGAGATTATGCTTGTTGTAGGTTCTCCTCTAAGATCCATGACTTCTCTAGCCCTGGGTAGTTGTTAGGTTTCCAGTCCCAGGCATGGTCCCCCTCCGGTTGAGTGAGTACTTAGTCTAGTTAGAGAACTGTGGTTACTGGTAGAGAATGCATGCCACTAATACACCCTTAATGAGTATTCTACCATGCTGGTCATTGTTGTGGTTTGTAAACATAGTCAGATGCTGTTAGTTGTTTCTCTCCTTGGAAAGCTTGCATGGCACATTCTGGTTCCATGATATTAGGCCCCAGGAAGAAGATATTCATGTCAGATTCAGTTTGGGTCTCCTATGTCCCAGATCCAAAGTGCATGGTGTCTTCAGCAATAGAGACCTACCTTCTACTTACAGGAGGCAGCCAAGTGTAACAGAAAGAACCTGTAATGTTTGGGAGTCCTTCGACAACCCTGACCAACTCAAAAGAAGTCTTCTCATGACTGCTTTGTTGTTGGGTTATTTTGTTGTTGTTGTTGTTGTTAGATAATCTAGGCTGTTGTTTGGTGCATTGTTATCCCAGATGGAAAAAAATAATTTAAAATATATATTTACATATAAACTTATATGTATTATAAGGGTTTTGAGAGATATACCACATAGTCCAGGCTGGCCTTCACCATGTGGCAATCCTTCTGCCTTAGCATCACAGATGCTGGGATTTGGGTATATACCACTCTGCCTTCTTTTTGTGTCATTTGAAATATACTCCTTACTAACCAGGCATGAGGACCAGAGGAAAGTCCCTATGACTTATTGATGTTTTCATGAATGCCCTCTTTCACGCAAGCGGATGAGTCCAGCCTTTCACGGGGGCACAAAGTTGAACAGCTGTGGTTAAAATAGAATGAGGAATAAGGAATGGAATAAGGGCTTGAGAAAGGTGCATGCTTATTTCTATGTGCTTGTGGACCTCTTAAGGGGGTTGGTTTAAAGCCCTCTGTAAATGCTGCTGGATTAACCAATCCACTCCCCTAGAGCACATCAGTTTACATGCACAGGCAGCTCTCATCTGCCCAGGCCAGAGAATGAGGGCTGTATGAGGTTCATTTTGTAGGAGGTTTTCTCTTCACAAATCAGAAATTCCACCATACACATTCCTATCCCCCTTCATAACTGGCCAGGGGAAGCATTGGGATGAGCTATTACATAAAGGCCACTATTGTCTTCACAATGTCTGTGTGATGATGCCCCGGATCAGAATTCTAAAATAGTTTGGTTGATCTTGTAACATAAAACATGGTTCAGAAAACCAAAGATTTAATTTTGTTTATAGAAAGATGGTTGACTGGGAGGGGTTGGCATGGGGAGAGCAGTTTGGGACCATCATGAATCATTCTAAAAGTGCCAGGCAAGTGAAGGCATCTTCTGGAATTCACTCTGACGCTGAATTCTTCTACTAAGCAAATACGTGATGAGTTGATAAAAAAAAAAAAAGAAGAAGAAGAAGAAGAGATGAAGGTCCTGGACACCGACGACAGATAGAATACAGAAAATCAAAAGCGCACTTTCTATCTGACTCAAAATAAAGGTACCCTTAAACTTGTTAAAGACAACATTTTTATTTGAATGATATGACAGAGCTGTCACCGGAGTGCTACCTGCTATAAAGAAAGCACAAGAATTATCACCTTTATTAGAGCGGTGGCACCAGGCTTCAGCCATACATTTCTAACTTCTGTCCCTCTGCAGAGACAATTTTCTTTTCTTAAATAAACTGTCATGCTCCTGTTAATATATTGTTGACTCTCTCAAGCCCCGAGAATACTGCTGATATAAACCATGTATATGTTAGATTGGTAATAGTATCTTTAGTGTAACTGACGAGAACAAATGTGTTTCCCTCATGGCTGTGCTAATGTGATAAAGGAAAATTGGCTGTTCATCAGTTTTTGGGCTGGGTAAAGACAGTAGAGATGGAACCACGTTCTTTTTTTATGCATTAATACCACCGGGAACTTTTCGCGAGTTATATTTCATGTAGCCTGCATGTTGTGCGAAGGCGCTGTAAAACATGAGATAATGCTACAAATAACAAACTGGAAGAGCCTGTATCTTTCATAATGATAACAGTCAAACACCAAATAATAGTAGCAGGCAGAGAAAAATGGGATGCAAGGGAAATAAAAAAAAGGTGCGTTCCTACTATTCGGTAGAGAGAAATAGACACGGGCTCATGAGGAACTGGGTATGACTTTAGGTCAATTTCAGCTTTGTTTGAAATGGAGTCTCATACAACCTCAGGTCAGTATATTTCAGAGAGACCTCATTAAAATTAAATTGGCTAGAAGGAAGAGTATCGATGTTGCGTAACTTTTTTTTTTTTTTTTAAGAAATACATATTACCAAGCACTTGTGGCATTGACCCCTAGGTTCTTGAGTTTGCTTTTTGAGTAGGAGATTCTGGGAAAAGATTCCTAAAGCAAATAATTCACATAATAGTGTAAAGGCTTTGCTTTACTTCATTTTTTTTTTCAAATCCCTTTCAGTAGAGATATGGTTGAAATAGTTTGGGAAGGAAAACTGGTTGGGGAGGTGGAGTTTTAGGGGAGGGAATAAGGTGGCCTTGATCAAAATACATTATCTGCATGTATGAAAATCTTTAACACTAAGAAATAAATAGATAATGCATATGTACACTGCAATTCGCAGTCAGTTTTAGACCCATGGCAGACCCACGGCAATGTGAACCCGGTAAAGACACTGTCCCTGTCCCCTGACTTCACATGTGTGTTGGACATGGCATTTTTTACTGCTGAAGTCCTACACCAGACTAGCATATATGGTTTATCAATGAACCTACAGTGGTCCTAACTCTAACTTCGTTATCTTTCAAACTTCATGCTGGAATAACATTCCCACAGTTACACTTCATTAAAGTGTTAATGTCAACCTTTTAATTGTCTAATAGTAAGTGCCCATCTTCTTCCCCCCCTCTGTCAGCCTGTCTCTTCTCTCGGTCCTTTCTCTTTTTTAAGAAATACATATTTCCATGGGAGTTGGTTTAATGGTTTGAATGCCTTTTGCAGTCAGAAGCACTTCAACAGAAAGACTATGTGTAGGTATTATCATTGGTGGCTGAATAGCTGCTTGTTTATTCTGAATTAGTGTGTAACCATCAAAGACTGTATATAACCACAGCCTATGAGGTGTTGACTGCAGAATGATGACTGATGGATGGTGATTAAAATATCACTAGACCTGGATGGAGGGGGGAGGACCTTGGACTTTCCACAGGGCAGGGAATCCTGACTGCTCTTTGGACTGGAGAGGGAGGGGGAGAGGAGTGGGGGGAGGGGGAGAAGAAGGGAGGAGGGGGAGGGAAATGGGAGGCTGGGAGGAGGCAGAAACTTTTTTTTTCTCAATAAAAAATTTTTTTAAAAAAGAAAAAATCAATCAAACTCTAAAGGACATGCTAAATAAATAGAAAGGGATGATAAAGACCCCTAGAAATAAAAAAGATATCACATCATACAATAATTTTATGATTCTATGCCCCACTAGTCATCAACTTGTGACCAGCGGGTCTTATCTGGCTGATCACTTGACTTTGGGGTTCATGTTCACTGGCACTCAGTCAGGGTATATTGTCAATGGCTCCTTTGCTAGAGCTATGTTAAAGCTGAGGGTGTAGAGTGGACTATTTAGCCACCACACCAAATGCTTTAAGTTGCAATATTCTCCAGGTATGTATTGGCAAAGTTGACTCTCCTGGGACGTAGATAACTGTTAGATTGTTTGGCTGATCAGAATAGAATGTAACTGGCAAATTTTTATGTAATTTTATAATGGGAAAGTGTATTCAAAAATTATCAGCTGGACTCCTGTATCCAAAGAAATGAGTGTTTATGGTAAGCACTTTGCACTAGTAATGTGGGTGATATTCACAAACACACATATGTATATTTGGCATATTTGGGTTCAAATATTATTCTACCTTTGAATTAATTTATTTTCAAGTATGACCTCGATGGCATTAGCATTTAAAAACATATTCCAGGGTATCCATGGGGTTTGCATGGTGCTGTCCCATGAATACCCTGGTATATATCATCATAGAATAAAAATTTTGCTGTATAGTTTCATATCTGGGCTTGTAACATGCAGAGATGATATTGTTTGGCTATGAAAATGCTTCCAATATTTCAACTTGCAGGAAGCTAAGAAAGAGTAAAATGATTTGAGAAAAAAAAGACAAAAAGGCTACTGGTATGGTGTTAGTACCACGTAAAAGTTTACGCACTTGAAGATGGTGATAGTTCTTACAGGTACATCACACTGAAATCAGCTTCTTTGTGAATGGTTTGGATGAGAACAAGACAGCATTTGACACAAGAACTCTGAGTGGTTCAATTACAGACTCTGCCTCCAGCGCAGTACAAATAGGACAGAACTTAAATGGTAAGATTTTGTCATTAGAATTCTATTATTTTTGGCCAGTTATAGGTCCTGGCTTTAAATAGTAAACAAGTGTTCATGATATATTTAGATGTATTCAATTCCCAGGGACACTATAATAAATATCCACCAATGCATCATCATTTAGGAGCATGGAAATTTAGCCTTTGATGCCAGCTGTCTGGGATCAGAGCTTCAGCACTGTGGTTCCTTCTGGGGGACAGCTATTCGACACCTCTCTCCTGGTTGCAGCTGGCACACCTGCGCAGTCTCTTCTTGCCCCCACACCGCTCCACTTTGCCTTTGGCTGGTCTCCTCTGTGTGGTTTTCATTTATTTCACTGGAAGTATAGTTGTCATCAGATTTAGATCCATCTCACTCAGGGTACACTCCATATCAAGATCCTGAATTCCACCCGCAAAGATATTTCTTCTAGGAAGGCCACAGCTAAAGACTCCACATGAACATATATATTGGGGGAGACTTTAAAATAAAAGTTTTTTCTACTCTTATCTCTTTGCAAAACAAGATCCGGTTGTATGGTTCAGTCAGGAAGTCACTCACCTGGTACACAGTACAGGTATCTGAGGATCGATACCACAAACCACATTAAAGAAATAATCTATGCTTGGTGTCCCGAGTCTGAATTCCCAAACCAGAATAACAGCTAGGCAAATAAAACTTACTGGCCAACTTGTCTGGCTGACTCAATGGACTGGATACAGGAGCAATAAGAGACCCCGCCTCAAAGAGTAAGTTGGAGAGTTAGGAGGAAGACACCAGATGTCAAACTTCAGCATTCGCCTGCAAGCATACATAGTGTAAATCCATTCACCAGATCTATATTCACATACAATAAAAGAACAACGTATAATATTTATTTTGTTTTTGACTCACTGAATTTTAATAAGGTTGTTGCTAAATGAGAGCCATAACACATTTTCTAGAAACCGAGGCATATGAACAACATTGGCTCTGTGCTATTTCTATTTCCCACATTTATTGAAAAATATAGATTAAATGATGGCTCACACTATAAAGTGAGAAGAGTAAAAACCCAAATGAAATTTGTCTTGAAATACCCAACACTGTTGCCCTCAAAACACTTGAACTTTTAATTGGATAATTATGTAACTCAGGCTTATTATTAAAAAATCCAAATGACAGGGAATTCTGTAAAGTAGAAAGTTTGTTACACATTTCCATCCTCAGAGACAATAATTGAACTTTTCATACTCTCCTAGATTTTTTTAATCCACACTGAGGCTTATGGTTACAAATATAATTCTTTCCCCAAAGGGAAATTCTAACACATATGCTTTCACTAAGCTCTCTAAAAATAGATCCATCCCCTCCAAATGTTTAAGACCCATATTTTCTGTCAATATCCTTTTCCGTTGCATCAGGCTGCTTCAATTATGGGGTCTATGTCGCATGCCGCTTTATAACTGCAACACACTTCTTAAACAAGAAAATATGCAATAAGATTTCATATAATTTCAAATGTTTCCAAATTATCAGAAAGCCATTTGATGGAAAACAATATATTAGTACATATACATCAATATCCAGATTTTCATCTGATATGTATATACAAATTCATATGTATATATTGTATATGCATGTATATATTTGAATAATTATCTGATTATATAGTTCCTTGATAATCTCTACTCTAGTGCTAATCTCCCTAGAGGCAAACTAAATCTCAGCAGTTACTGAGCAGGTAAAGCTGCTAATACCTCATGGTTATACCAACTTTAAGATGCTGTTGCTGCTGCTGCTGCCGCTGCTGGTGACGGTGGTATCTTACAATGTCTTTATAAGGCTCAATGAGGCAATGTTATATAAAGTATTAGTATTACCAATTCTCAAGCATCCTGCATACAGCAGCTGCCTAGTACAAGTTCTTAATTGTCAAATGAGTAAATACAATTCAAAGCACCACGTATAGCATATACTAAATTATTTTAGTAAATAAAGCTATCATTAATGTTGCTACAATTATTTTCTCAGATAAATCCTTGGAAGTTGAAGGGCTGGGTTGAAGTATATGGCTGTTTTATATTTTAATGCGCAGCATAAAGGTGGCTCTAATGCATAGCAACAGAAAGTTGTGAATACCTTACTGAAAGGGTATTGTTGCCTTAAACACTTGTGTGTGTACATGTACATTTGTGTATGTGTGTGTGTGTTTCATACTCCTAAGGATTCTAAGTTAAAAAACACTGGTGGGTGTTGATACAGAGTGTGTCAGTCTTTGCCGAGGTTGACCCTTGACTGTTTTCATTTCATTTGTACACTCCTTATTTATGTTATGTATCCAAACTTATACATATTTACATGTAAAATTCATTAATATGCCTAAGGATATTACGCTAGATGTTTTCTCTAGTTTTTAGACAGCCTGCCAACTTCTTTTAAGCATGAAACTATATCTTGAATATTCTTATTCATGTCAAAACATGTATACAAGATAGAATATAAGTATTAGGGGTATGGCTTGATAATGTGTTGGCTTGAAGATTTATTTTTATTATTTAAAATGTGTGTCTTTTATATAATTATGTACACCAAAATTGGGTGTATATGTGGTTTAGAGTTGAAATGTCTTCTTAATTGTTCCATTTGTTAGAATAAAGTGACCTTATTCTCCTTTTATGACCAAAAAAAAAAAAAAAAAAGAATAGTTCAGGAGAGATTCCTGCCACTATCAATGGCTGTTCTCTGTTCCTGAAGAATTATGCAAATATGCAGTGAGTGCTCTTAATTTCCTGTCACTCAGGGCTGTCTCTGTCAGATGTACCGTATGCGTGTAGTATCACTGCTAGCTTCAGAAAACACTTCTAAGTAGCTTCTAAATAGTAACACCCAGTATTGTGACACACGTACACCCTCACTAACTCCATTGCCCGGATACTGCCAAATGGCCTGTGGTGCATTTTCTGATGATTAATGACACTGGGAAGTTTTCATGCACCTTGTTTGCCTTGTAAATATGCTTTTCTAGGAAGCACATACTCAGGATGAATTTTTGGGGCCAATTTTTGATTGGGTACTTTGTCTTTTTCTTATTAATTTGTAGAAATTCTTTGCTGTTTTGAATGTGAGTCTGATGAATCCATGACTGTCAGGCATTGTCTTCTAAGATACAGCTTATAGTTACCTTTTCTTCAAGGGTAAACTCTGACAAACAGTATCACCCCATTTTGGTAAAATATAATTTACAGATCCTTCTTTCATAGTTGACACGTTTTGTGTTTTATTAATATACTTAACTCACTTTGAAGTCTTGAAGAATATATTCTCCTATATTTTATTCTGGAAGCTTTATTATTTTATATCTTTAACTCAGGTCTGTGTTCAAGCCTCCTCTTGTCCCACCTAAACAGTTAAAGTAAAATTCTTTTTAGCCATTTGATCATCCCTACCACTCCACAATAGCCCCTCTGTAATAAGCAAAAATTCTGCATGTGTTAAGATTGATTGGTTTTCTGAATTCTGTCATCTGTTCCCATGACCCATACACACTTGGCTCAAAATGCTTAGTCTCTGTTTTTATGGTTTAAATTTTGATGCCTTTTCGGGTAAGTTTCCCAACGTTCATTTTCTGGCATGATTGTATTGCCGTTCATTTAAACATCAACAGTTGCTTTTCAGTTTTTGCTTAAACTTCACTGAAATCAAAATGATTAAGTGGGGGCTGGAGATATGGCTCATGATTAAGAGTGCTTCCTGATTTTCCATAGGATGTGGATTCATTCGCACACCCACAAGAGATGACTCACTGCCACCTGTCTGCAGCTTCAGGAGATCCTATAGCCTCCTCTGCCTTCTACAGGCACCCACACACATGGGACTTACACCCCCACACACGTGGCTTACACACACATGGGACTTACACCCACACACACGTGGCTTACACACACATGGGACTTACACCCCCACACACGTGGCTTACACACACATGGGACTTACACCCACACACACGTGGCTTACACACACATGGGACTTACACCCACACACACGTGGCTTACACACACATGGGACTTACACCCACACACACGTGGCTTACACACACATGGGACTTACACCCACACACACGTGGCTTACACACACATGGGACTTACACCCACACACACGTGGCTTACACACACATGGGACTTACACCCACACATGTATGATTTACGCCCGTACACATGCACACATAAAGAAAAATAAAAGTAAAGCCTTAAATCATCATGTCAGTTCAGAGAGATTGGAGATGAAAATCCCATCAAGTACTCTAACCCATGGCAGTCATAATTTCTTCATCTCAGCAAAGGTTTGCTTTCCTTAGAGAAAACTTTTATTTATTAAGCTTATTTCCACTTGTGTATTTGAATTTATTAGTAGTTGCTATTTTAAAAGAAAAGCTTTAGGTTTCTAGAAAAGCCAAACTGAACGTATGGAGTTCCCGTTTACTCTGCCTCCCTTATTTATATGCCGGTTACCATCTCCACTGCACTGTTTTTGATTTTAAAATTTTTATCTGCTTTTGTGGTCTGATTCCAAACACTTTAAAAACAATGACTAAATTTCTGAGGTTTTGTTTTCAGCAATCAAGAATGAGTCCAAAACAGTTTTATTCCATTGATCAAAAAATTTAGTCTTCTTCAGTTTCTGATTTTTAACGTATTGTGTTTAATTCATGATATATGAGACTTTTAGATGAACTATATGAGATCATATAGATTTAGATTACATTGCTTATGATGTATTGAAAGAGTGCTAGAGGGCAACCTGAGTTTGGTGTGGCAGGGAAGGACATAGTCCACACATGAAAATAGAAAGAGCCCATGTTTGCTGTGAGAGTAGGCTATGCAACTGTGTTTGAGGCTAGCATCAGCTATGGTGTGGGGCTGCGAAATCTTCCCTAAACTGTTCCTGACAAATTCAGTAGTTTCAGTTATTAGCATCTTTGATTATGTATTGTGTTCCTGTGAAACAATGAGTTGGGTTGATGAAAATGGTTATTATAGAGAATAGTAAGTCTCATTAGTGCTAACTGCTTGTACGTGACAGGGTCCATCCACAGGAGCATGAGAAAACTTCTGGTGGCCTCCCTCCACCCAAAGAAATGTGACCTCCCCATCCCTCAGCAGCAACTGCCATTGAGTCCTCAGTTAGGGGTGAGGCGTCATAGAGCTCTCTCCTGTCTGCTGGAAATGTTCCCTCTCATTGATCCTTTAGGAGTCTCCTGTGGGTGACCACATCCTCTGAGAGCATGTGTGGAGTAGCCATGCTGTGTCCAGAGGCAGCCTGTATAGCATGCCCTCATTACCTGCCTCTTACGTTCCTTCTGCCTTCTCTTCTAAGATGCTCTGTAAGCACTTGGGGAGGAAGTATTGATAACAGTGAGCAGGCATAATGGCTCATTCTTCACATTTTTGAGCAGTTAGGAGTCTGCATTAACTATTACTTTCTGGAAGCTTCTATAACCACGACTGAAAGCAGTCCTAATTTATGATATAAACAAAAATATTTAGGAAGAACTTTGACAACAAGATGTGTCAGCAAGACATCAATAGATTTTCTACCAAAGAGAACCATGCCTTCCTTAGCCAGGGATCTGATAAGATCAGGCATGAGTTCCCTTCTGTGGAGCATGCTCAAATCTAATCAAGAGGGCAGCTTGTTATCCCTATGAATTTAGGAGAAAGGTGTGAAGTATGTTGGGTGGGGTAGAGGAGAGCTGGGGGGAGCGGCTGGACAGTGGAGATGCTTAAGTTACATTGTATACATACACAAATAAAAAGAATATCACTGCAGTTTGTAAATAGTCTTAGATCAAGCTAAACTAATGAAAAAGTAAATCAAGGAGTCTGTGTTTTTAGAAACTTGGCTTCAACAATTAGCTTATTGAAAAAAAGCTCAGTATTCTACACACACAAAGTTTTAATAACACATTTAAGTCTTGTGAGCCTTATTTAGGTATTTAACCCTCAGTAATGTTTCTAAGTCTTTCCTCAGTAAGCGCTGCTAAGAGTGTTTGTTAGCACTGTAAATTTGTCTGTTTTGCATGGCGGGGCTAAAATGCCTTGACTCTGTTCTACTCCAGTGCACTAAATGCTGAATTGAAGCTTCAAAAGGCCATTGTAATCTGAAAATGATATTTATTTTTAGACTCTGCGAAAAGGATTTTTCACCTATGATTATAACACAAGAAATGGAAAATGATTTCTCACAAATATCTATTTTTTATTACATTTTACACTCATATTATGGGTATTTAGGAGCTGCGAGAAGGAAAGGATGCTTTTAATTCCCAGCCTTGCTCCATCAGCCTACAGGTATGGCGGCACCTACTGTATCTCTTCTCTAATTAGAGGTGGCGTGTAGGCCGGCTCATTACTCCTGCTTAATGAGCCAGGCTCCCTGCCACCTCTCTAATCAGAAAAGAGATAGGTACAGAATGTTCTTATGGACTTTCTATAAATCACTATATTTCTCTGGCTTGTATGATTTTTAATCAAGAAATTAAGTCACTGTCCACCATAGTTGTGTCCATATTCAAGATGGCTTTGTTTGTTCTGAGGGGGCAGCTGTGCAAGATATCTCCACCATCTAAAGCAGAGGTGCTGTTGACTGTCACACAGCACCAGGCTGACAGTCTCTGCTTTCTAGGGACTGCCTCAGACACAGGCCTGGCCAGTGCATTCTATAGCATGTGTGGTGAGGCCCATAGCATGTCCAGTGGGGCCTGTAGCATGTCAAGTGGGGCCTGTAGCATGTCCAGTGGGGCCTGTAGCATGTCCAGTGGGGCCTGTAGCATGTCAAGTGGGGCCTGTAGCATGTCTGGTAGGCCCTATAGCATGTCCAGTGGGGCCTATAGACTGTCCAGTGGGGCCTATACACTGTCAAGTGGGGCCTTTATCATGTCAGTGGGGCCTACAGTGATTTATTAGTGGTTTATCAGATTCTCAGTTTCCTATTGAGATAAGGAACATCTCACTATGTATTTAAGTAGACAATTCTTCTTTGTTGTTGTTGTTTATTTTTGTTTTTTGTTTTTTTCGAGACATGGTTTTTCTATAGCTTTTGAGCCTGTTCTGGAACTAGCTCTTGTAGACCAGGTTGTCCTCAAGCTCACAGAGATCCTCCTGCCTCTGCCTTCCAAGTGCTGGGATTAAAGGCATGCGCCACCACTGCCTGGCTAAGTGGACAATTCTTTGTCCAGAAGATTATTGGCCATTAAGGTATCATTGATCATTTGTTGAGTATGTATAAAAGCAAATGCCAGGAAAGAAAATACTGATGGCCCCAAATGAACCGCAGTGGCTTTTACATCTGTAACTACTGCCTTGGGTGCTTCTGAGTGCATCTGAACATTCTGGACTTGAGGTTGAGTGCAGCTTAACCTTTTCATAGTTTTATAATTTTAACCTCAGCTAAGGCAGGAAATCCCCTTTCTTTTATTTATCCTATGTTTTGAAAAAGCTTTGAGAATTACATTAAAAAATGAAGGGAAAAGTATATGAGTTCCTGAGTGAATGAAGACAGGAAAATGGTGTGGAAAAGATAGGAGCATGCGACAGCTCGGCTGATGAACTGCTTGCTGTGCAAAGTCCGAGGACCTGCGTGATAACCAGAATCCAAATCAAAGAGGCCAGCAGTGCAGGGTGTGCTTTTAACTCCAGTGTTGGTAAGAGAGGCAGGAAGACAGGATTGCCATAGACTATTGACCAGCCCTGGGTCATGGAGATACCAAAAACAAACCAACAAAAAGCTCAAGATGGTCAGAGATTGAGGAATGACACCGGGGCCATTCCTTGGCATCCAAATGAATGTACTTACACGAACAAGCATGTGTGTGTTCACACATATGAAAGGCCATCCCTTGGCAGCCAAATAAATGCCCTTCCATGAACCAACATGCGTGTGTTCACACATGCAAAAAGAAAAAGATACATAGGCATATAGGAGGTCAGAGTTAAACTCAAAATTGGTTGCTATTTATCCCATGAAAGTTGTCAAACTAGACTTTCAGAACAAATAGTTATAAAATAAGAAGATATGAAGTATATGACTCAGGGCCATGCTGCATAAGAACTACTGATTAAGATTCAATGGAGAATGTGTAGTCATGAGCTAG